TGCGAATGACAGCTGGACAGGAAACAAAAGAATAGTTTTCAGTGCTTGTCGGACTGAAGTTCTGCTCTTGACTGACTCAGTCGGTACACGTCGAGTCTGGCAGCCGCGGCCTCAGCCGTAGACTGGGCATTGATGCAAGTCCGCAGACTGTCATCACTTGTGTGCTTTTTGGATATGTGGTGTTGGCGGAGCGGCGCTGGAGAGACATAGCCATCATGCTTGCCCTGAACCTTTTGATGAGGTGGGCCATGCACTTGTCGCTTCCTTCCGGTACACCGAGATGTTTTGCAGGGACGGTCGTCAACATTAGCTTCCCGTAATGAATTTGCAGGAGGTCTTCCTGGACTAAGATCGCTAGCTGGATTCCTCTGAGACAATTCAGGAATCGATGCATAGCATTTTGAAGCTGCTCCAGAAGCGTTAACACCCCCCCACAAAGGAACCAGATGGTGTCCCAAGACCTACGTGGGAGAAAAAACCAGCTACAACCGTATAATGTCAAGTAGTCCCTCATGATGATGCTAAAAGTAATGCTAGTAACTAGTGCTTCGTAATGCGCCTACTTAGCCCAAGACACTACACGGAATGCCAGCGCCGGCTTCGGACCTTGCTTGCAACAAACGGCAGCTGGGCATCCTTCCGCCGGGAGCTTGAGATGACATGATGCGTCCCAGTAGTCCAGGAAGTCCATGCTGTAGGGCTCCAGGAAGTTTCCATGTGAAGGGTCGTCTGACATTTTCCATCAGTTCCTAGACTCGTTGCCCATCTTCAGATTCTTTAGGCCATTGGCAGATGGTTGAAGTGTAGGCAGACTGGTGCTCAAAAGCGCACAGATTGTTTGGAACTGCCAAGGGACCCTGACATTTTGGAGCTTAGCCAGCAGCCCAGCGCATTAGCTTTGGAGACTTACACATTCTGGCTTGAATGCAGAGACTCCACGATGAACAGATCCATGAAGTCCACTTTTACCAAGTCGGTTGACATTCCACTTGTGCGTACCCACTGTTTTGCTACTGGCAAACATTCCGGATTTGTTTCAGTCTGCAAGGCTTAGACTTCTGAGAGCGGAAGCCGGAAAGCCTGTTGTTGGGTTTTCCAGGCCTAGCAGTGCAGGAGTGCAGCAGTGCAGGTCAACCATGTGCTGACGCTGGCTGTTTCGGCAGTGGAGTTCGATTCAGTTCCGGCCTTAGTCAAGTATCTATGCGGAAACAATGTTGTTGTGAAGCAGGGTGGTAAGGGTTGCTACGTTTCCGAGCTTGAACATTGGCTTTCATGACACCTCTCTGAAATGGTCTGAAGTTGGAAATTGAGATGGGTGTAAGGTCTGGCTGGGCCTGGTTGTGGCCACCATGGGAGGCTCACCCTGAAGAGCAGCCTGTGGCCTCATCAACTTTAGCCCTCAAAACATCCGCTGCCTGGCTTCCGGCGCCTCAATTCTCTTTCGCAGAACCACAGCTGTGTCATAGCACTTATGTGCTTTGCAGGCAAGCTGATGCTTGGCTTCTGGATGCTGGTGATTGTAGACAGGACTGGCTCATGGTTTCTTTTTCCGAAGCAGCATCGTTAGCTAAAGCTACTGGATTTCCATGCGTGCTTCGGAGAGCTGACAGGAGACCGCTCACCGATCTTAGCAAAGAGGCACGCCATGTCTTCGACTGTGCTACGGTTGACCAAGCGCTTTAGACAGCCCCGGCTTGCAGTCTAGAGAGTCATGTTATTCAGAACTGAGATTTCGGATGCTTGTGGGCTTGTGGAAGCAGTTCATATCTAGTGATTTTTATGGCCATTTCCGGCACCAATCAGGGTTTGAGGCCTGCGCACATGATTGGCTGTGTGCAGAAACCGCACAGCCCTCAAGCGAGAAGGCCGAGCGATGCAAACATCTTCGAGAGATGCACGCCCTTTTGGCTGTGTCCGGGTGGCATCAAGTATTCGACATGTGCAAGAAAGTGGCTCATGTCCTGTCATGGAGATGACCAGAGTGAAGCTAAGTTTGCCAGCTTCTTAAATGTCGGCACCCTGGCCTTCATGGCGCTGATGCAGGTGCCGGTCAGTGTTTTTGAGTGTTGGCCATAAATTCAAGGTTCTCATGCTTGCATCGCAACTTCCTGCCTTGCTGTCTTTGCAACATGCCAGATCACCGAGCCAGAGCTACTCAACTTGCAGTTGGTCCTCAGGCCGCGTGAAGTCGTAAACGCCATGCACCCGCTACTGTCTGGTTTGGTGTTTCGCAGGCGTATTCTCCAGCCGCTTTGTTTGATAATCTTGGAGGCCATGATTGCTGCTTTTGCCCCTTGGCTAGAAGTATCAGCTTCAGGTGGGTTCTTGCTGTGCATGCTCGGGGTGCGCAGAAATTTATGAGAGAGTGCGGGTGTGCCGACTTGCATTCCGTGAATCTCCTTTCTGAGCCAAGGCATGGCATGGTCGGTACTGTGTTGCGGCACGCCTTCGGTTGGTGCAGCGTTGGGAGCAACTCGATGGCATCCATTTAGCAGGTGAGAAGGGCTCCAACCAGCTTGGTTCAGTACATTTGTAGTCTTGTGGCACTGGCAGGCCCTGTCGCAAATGGCTGGAGCACAGAAAACTTGAGGCCCTACTCCCGTACACATGCTGCACTCCAGCATCATCAGGATGGAGTCTCCGTTTATCATTGCCCTGGCCTTGTTATATTCTGGCAAGAAGACCTTCTACATTCCATGGAGCTCTAGAGAACTCTTTACACCGCGTATCAAACTTTTCTGGTACTTGGAAGATGCAAAAACGGATTTCGAATGACGTTGAAAATCTTGGCCCAGAGGGCCGGCATCATCAATGCCTTTCAATTTCGCAGTGGACCTGGCAAGGCTGGGAGTTTGCTTTGCCAGTGCGGGCAACAGCGCCCTGCCGGCAACGGCAAGAGCAACCGTAGAACCCAGGCTGGTTCAGCAGATCTAGGAAAACGTGATGTTTTGATTTTTTGCCGCAGTTTGGAGGCCAGTGAGAAGGCCATGCGCAAGTCTCTCAGAATCTGTTTTTGCTTTCCAATGCGGACTCTAAGAAAATTCCACGCGCAGGCACGAGGCTCAAATCACGTGCTGATGACGCGCGCAGATTCCTACCACACACAAAGCCCACACGCCCCATGCGCTGGGGCGCTCGGTTTAAAGCGAGGAGCCAAAACTCACTGATGCTTCTAGACGGAAAGGACAAAAGGAAAACTCCTCTGAGCCCATGACAAAATTCTTGACGTCATGTAGACGTCTTCTAGCCAGACCCCATCACGCAGCAGGTGGGAGATGCAACACCAGGCCAAATCTTCAAGCAAAGCTTTGGGCTTTTGCCACAACGGGTGCGCGGATGGGCTGCCCTGACTGAGCGGAGCACCAGGCACCACAGATGCCGGCACCAAGGCAACCTTCCCCCGTTTCATGGAAGAAGAGGGTTCGCCGAGAGCCCTTGTTCCAAGCGGCCTCGCAGTGATTTTGGCATCAGCCATCAAGAAGATCACCATTGTAAAGCTGTACTGAGTATCCTCCTTGCCAGCGCAGCCAGCATCATCAGCATCAGGCATGTTTATTTCTCGCCTCCAGGCTTCCCGTAGTTTGGGGCCTTGGGGCCTGGCTTTCCGCACGATGAGTGCCCACAAATCTGTCAGCATGGTCAGATTATCTGGCAGTGCCCTGCAGCCTGCAACGGCTGGCGCCTGCGCCAAAGTAAAAAGCACAAAACTCCTGATCATGATACAGCAGCGGAAATGAAACCATGCGAAAAAAGAGTGGCATTATTCATACCAGATGTTGCCGAACCTTTAGAGAGGAGCTTTCGATACGTGGCTTCCCCAAAGCGCATACACAGAAAACCAGACAGCTCCACACCAGGGTGGGCAGGGCCCTTCGGTAAGGAGCTGGTGTGAAGTCAAATGGCGTCAGCAAGCCAAAGGAAGGGCTTGACCAAGGATGCATTCCGCTCAGGTTCACGCACATCCAGTCTGTGCAGCAGATCAACACGGCCTCGGCGGCCGTACAGGCGGGGAGGAATTCCAATTCCAGAGGTGCAGTCTTTCCACACTTTGGTGAGTCCAGCTTTCGAATATGAACACTATCATCTGCTTAACCGTAGAAGTGTCCCTTGTGCAGAAAAAGTTCACGGCGGATGTGGAGTGGTATTTCCTGATGCACATGACCACCTCCAAGCTGAGCTCTCAGCATCTGAAACGCAAACTTATTGATCGATCATCTTTGCCGCAGTTATATCAGTTGAGGAAGGCAGGCTTGCCAGTGCAAACCGTGAAGTTGCCTCACGTTTGCTTCAATTTTTCTGTCGAGGTTTGAGCAAGGGCAACTGAAGCCCCTGTCTCCCACGCTGCCAGCCCCTTCATCGCCCGGCGAGGTCCAAGAGGCTCTTAGTCTTGTTTTTCTTTTTTTTTGCGATTTGTGGCCTGGGAGTTGGATGAATCAAGATGTCTTTCCAGAACCATGGCAAAATATCGAGTTTGCAAGGACAAGCCGGATGGGGAGGCCAGCTGCACAGAAGCTCGCGAGGCCGAAGCGAAGGAGGAGAAAGAGGCAATGACCCTCAGAGCAGCTTTGCTTAGCTCACAAACCCACTTTTGCTTAGCTTCAGAGCTTCAGCTGAGTAGTGCTTTGGGCATTCGTTTGGTCGGTCTTCCGCATACGTGCCTTTGTATTTCAATATTTCCGGATGTGTATTTATGTCACCAGCCTCAACAACATGAGACTTATTGCAGTTTCTTGACCTGAACACTTGGAATAGAGCTGGCCATGCAAAATGTCGATATGTGTCCACGTTTAGATCCACCAGGCGCTGCCTTTGCAGACGGAGGAGGAAACGCTTACCTGTTCCATTTGCTGGGCGCACAGTTGCCACCTAGAAGCGGGCTGACCAAGTGGCACGTGCAGGCGAGTTCAGGGGCTTCCGACCTTTGTGGGTTGGTAGATAGCTGAGTACGTGGTCGACATCTCTTCCGCAGACCTCAGGTTTGGAAGGCTTTGAAGAAGGCGATGAGGCACGAGCTGGATTGACCTGCAGGGCTGGCAGTTACTGATCATGTTGAGCCTCCTGTCATGCGCGGGGGGTTGAAGTCCACCTGCAACTGACCTGCAACTGACCTGCAACAGCTTGTAACGTGTATTCCCAGATGTTTCAAGCCAGGTCTCCCAGCCTCGTTGCGTGCACTTCTTCCACCGCTCCTGCCTGGAGAACTGGGTGCTGTGCTGAGATGGGCAGCCATGCAGTTCTATTGACATAGATTGCTATCTGCAACGGCGACCGGAAGTGGGAAGGGCATGTCTGGGACAGCTTCCGTGCTTCCGCGCGTCAAATGCCAGCTGTGTTCAGGTGCAAGCACTCAGCAAGGAGCATGTCACTTCAACGAAGAGGAAAAGGGAGCAGGCACCTGCACTCCACCAACATTTGCACATCAAGGTCGTCTAGAACGCGGTTGTACAGGATGCAACAGACTTTGCAACCCTGCGCCAGAACACCCACAGTGTATTCCCCACATCGCGCTACAGCCCTATACCAGAATTTGAATTTCTCTCATCGAAGCTGACCCTAACACTTGGGAAGGTATTGTGCCCAATGCGCTGCGACACTGCGAAGGCACATCAAAGTTCAGGGGCCTTCTGCCAGCACAGAGACCTAAAGTGTAGGATGGAGGGCTGACCGGTTCTGATTTTCAATTTGGAGCACCTTCGCACCAATTACACTACACACAGTGCCGCGATGCCTGCCGGATCAGGACCCAGTCAGAGAGCCCTTGGTGCAGCGTAGCAACTGATGCAAATGTCCTTGGCCTGCAAACAAAGATTCGTATGTAGTTGAATGACCCCAGTGGCGACTCGCAACCACAGCGTGTGCAGGTCTCGACCGTGTCCCTTCTGTCGTGCAAGCCTATTTCAGTGGACCCACCCTGATGCCTTGGGCAAGAGGACTATCAGCTGGGGAAGAAAAGCTGCTTTTGGAATGCGGCTGATAGTCTGGTGGAGCCCATAATTTTCCTTCTGCCATTTTCAGATCAGCGCTGGTCTGAGCATTCCCCGCCCAAGGTGGGGTCTTTCCCCATGCGCCTCAGAAGAGCCCACTTCAAAGTGAAATTGTCTTCCAGGCTATCAAGAATCCATGTAGTGGGCTGCTAACTCGTTTTGAGTCTGGGCCTAATGGCCTAATATCTCCCCTTGAGTGCACATGTTGGGTGGAGTCCGCAAGCGCGTCTTGCAGCTTACAAGGAACACCCAGCAGTGATGCATGGCATCCTCCCAAACAGCATTATCCCAGAACAAGTATAGTCCTCGGCCCCTTAGACGCTTGTCAACAGGGTGAGACAGGTCTACGAAACTTACTCTGCTGATGGAGGGGCTGAAAACCAAGGCGGCTGCTTAGCAAGCAGATGTGCCCGTTTGTGCGTGTTGCTGTCCATAATCTTGCCTTGCCTCGGCATGGCAGTGTTCAGAAACGCCTTTTGCAACTTGTAGCTCGCTGGAACCATGACTGATGTCACATGACAGAAGCCGGAGGACTGACATTCTTCCACCAGATCAGCACTTCTTGTGGCAGCTTAGCATAGTAGCCCGTGACACGTGAGAGCTACAGGTTTGGATGAAGGGCGTTTGCGCAAGGATTCTGTTTTGTTGCAGGCGGAAGTTTTTGCAGGGAGTCCGCAATGGGACGTGCAGCTGACCTCTGCGCGGCACTCGTGCGCTAGCAGCCACCGGCATGAGGGTGTACCCCATGCGCTTTTGGTCGAGGAGCGCAGAGGGCAGCGCGAAGGTGCACTGGGCTCAAGGCCCACGTGCCCCTACCTCCCATGGGACCATGAGCTTGGGGGCAGTCATCACTTTGGATGTCTCTTTAAGCCAAGTCAAAGTATCACCCATATCGTCACCTCAAGGCATCTCCCAGGGCTCAAGTTGCCTGCGAAGTTAAGAATTCTTGCGACTCGGAGCAGAGCTTGGGAAGCAAAAGGCTCCCAGAGCCTGCTTAGATGGCAGAGTTCTTCCGACACAGCATTTGGGTTTGAATTTGCGATGGGTGCTTCTGAGCAGACTGAGACTGACGTAAGCTCACACGCTAGGATTGGTCAAGGGGTGCATAAGGATAAGCCATGAAAGCACCCCCTAGTGTGAGCCGGCTTTCGTTGTTTCTCGGCTTACCAGTTTCCCCCAGTATCGCAGAGACCCGAGCCTGTGTGTGGTGGTTTGGCAATGGATTACCAGTCGCTCAAACCCAATGCTCAGCTTGGCGGCCATCAACTTTTAATTGTAGACTCTTAGCTGCTGAGGCAGCACCAGTAATGCCGGCCTTGGAGCACGTCAAGCACTTGACAGAACCTCGGCCCCTGTAAGGTGTAGCGGAAGAAGCTGCGCGAATTTTTGGCTTGGCAGGTTTCGGACTCTGTATCTTGTATTTGGATCCAGAGGTAACCTTCCTCTGCATGCAGAAGTTTTTCGCCTCGGTTCATTTCGGTGCTAAACGGCAGTCCCTCCACCTGACCCGTCAGCGTGCCAGGGCAGCGATTTGAAACTGGAGACCGCCACATCCCCGGAAGCAGCAAGTGAGAATCTTCATAGTCCGCCGAAATCCGCTCATTCTTTCCCAGTGCCTGAGGTCACATCGCTCCCTGAGCTCTGTGCTCAGGTTTTGTGTGTCTTTGAATTCCAAAGTTGGCATGATCTGCAGAGCAGTCTGACTGTTTGGTACTGGTTTTCGTTAGATATTCGCATGCAGGCAGTAATAGCACAATGTTTGTAGATGACTCTGCGCTTGCAAGGCTCTGGGAGCAGTACACCTTCTCTACGCGTGAGATCGTAGACGAGGTGCCCTTCCTCAGAGCGTGGTGTCCTGTCGGTTTCCTTCCTAAAATCTGTCAGGTGCCCTCCATGATGTTTGAGCGCAACTTCATCGCTTGGGCCCAGTTATCCTAGTATTACGCCCCCCACCCCCCACCCCCCCCCCTCCTATTTGCCCGCGCCAAATGCCCGCTCATCGGAATGTGCTGCGTACAGCAGTGTTTTGGTGGTTGTGGATGTGGTCGAAGTGAACGTTATTATGGGTGCCGGCATGCATTCGCTAGTATCTTGTTTCGCTGTAAATAACAGTAATCTTGCAGTTGTGGAAGTATTTATACGGATGCTATGACCGTGGATGCGCAAGTA